GGAAAGTGTATACACCAGGGCCCCGCATGCGCCAGGCCCCGCTTTCCTGCGCAGAGGTCCGTGCAGGGCCGCACATAAAACGCCGGTGCATATATATATATATATATATATATATATATATAGAGTTCGGTTCCCTGCACTTCCGCCAAGAGCGCACGGCCGAGCGAGAGTCACCACCCACCAAACCACCCAAACCCAACCCGAAGGCCTCAACTTGCATTCCATTTCCAGTTTTGGGGGTGGGTGGGGGAGCATGGGAAAAACACACATGAAGCCCGTACCCCCCCCCAACCCGAACTTCGGGTCTTCGGGTTGGGTTGGGGTGGTCTGGTAGGTATCAGGAGGAACAAAAACACACACAGACACAATTAATCGTCGATCCCCAGGAAAATATTGGAAACTATGGGAAGTGGGCGGGAAGACAGAAACCGAGAAAATATAGGAAACTATGGGAAACATGTTTATTTGTGTGTATTTATTTGTGTGTCCTGGGGCCCCTTCAAGGCAGTCGGAGAGGGGGGCAGCGGCGAAGGGGGGCACCGGGTGTCCGAGGCCGTAGCTCGGTCCCGCCGCTGGCAGCACGAGGGTGTGCCCGCGCCTCGGGCGCCAAGGCAGCGGCGGGCTCTCGCGAGGGCGCGACCGCCGAGCGTCGCGCGACGTCACGAACGAACAACACACACCCATACCCATAGGGGGGGGGTCGTTGGGAGGAGGACTGGCTATGGGTATGGGTGCGGGTCGTCGGACCCTGCGGAGCGCTCCCGTTCGAGAGCGGGGGCCCCCATTCGACAGCACGCACCCGTAGGCCTCTCCGACCACCCAATGGGTATGGGCGTGTGTGTTGTTGGTTCGTCACGACGGGAGCGGCGCGGCAGCAGCGGGGTCGCTTGCGCCGACCTCGGCGCGCAGGCTGCCCGCGTGAGTCGGGGGTTGGTAGACCTCCTGTACCAGCCTCGAACTTATCCTTGTCCCCAAGATTGCAATCTTAGGGATGCGCCCCCAAAACATACGGGGATCCCTAAGATTGGCATCGTGATGAGGAGATGCCCAGCTTAGGGATAGGGATATGTTCCAGGCTGGTAGACCTCCCACCCTGTCACGTCGATGAGTGAATTGGCCGTTTTCGGTTCGCGAGAGGGCGTCACGGCCGTTCTTGTTGCGGGTCCATTGTCCTTCGGTTTCGGCCCTGGGCCGTTTTCACTGAAGGGTGGTTTGTTTACTAAAGGGAGGTTTATCCATTGCCGGGCAAGGGCGCGCGTAGTATCTGCCCAATTTTGTTCCAGAGTGCGAGTAGTTTTCCGAACATGGCTCGAGGAGCAAGCTGATCTTAGACAGTTGGACCATGTGAACGGAAGCTTCTGCTGCCTCTGAACCTATTCGTCTACCTCAGACCTCTGTAGCCGCTGCAAGTGTTGATCGTTGCTGCGGACTTCTCTTGTCGCCCGACCGGTTCCTGAGCTGAAGTTGGGCGTGTCCCTCCACAGGAGGAGTATTCGAAGATAGTCAAAGAATAGGCTGGGGACGATTGTTGATAGTTGTCCGACTATGTCTGAATATTGTTTGGCTATCTTGTTTGCCTCTGGTGCTGGCGTGCAGAGCGCCGAAAGACCCTGGGGGAAGTCAGCTGCTGCACCTGGGGTCGGGCATTTCCAGCGGCCGCCCAGGCCAGAAGGACGTCGAGCTATTATCCGTCGCCTGCCCGATGCACCGCTGGTCTGCGGCAGCGCGCGGCATCGTCGGCAGCATAGCGGAATTCGGTGCGCGGGTGAGCCTCAACGCTTTCACGCCGTGCTGGGTTGGTCAGGAGCGGGCATGGCTGAAGCTGCTGGCCAGCTCGGGAAGCGCTGCGCTGCGTCGAGGCAGCGCGTGAAATCATCGGCCACGGTCTCTTTCGGCAGTCGTCCGCCAGTCGCATATGCTTGCGCGGCAATGAGGTCTTGATGATCCCGTGTTGTGGAGCCTAGCGCGATACCAAGTTCTGCCCGGAGAGTATCGCTTAGTTTCTATGAACACAGTTCGCAGAGTTGTTGGGCGATTCTTTTCGGTCACAGCCGTCAGCGTCTTCGCCGTCGCAGTTCACGAATGGCCTCCTGGAATTTTGGCCATGTTTGCAGGGTGTTGTGGTTGGGCGCTGTCTGTCACTAGTTATGGGTCTGGAGTTGAGCTTCAGCGCGAGGTAGATGTGCCAAATCACTCCGTAACTTACCGTTTCGCCTTCTCCCCGGCATAACATCAAGCCTTCAGAGATCCTCTCCTCCTCCCTCTGCCTCTTCTTCTTCCTCCTTTCCTCCGCATGCTCCTCCACGAAACGCGGAAGATGTCGAACAGGAGGAAATTGGAAGGGATGGGGAGAAGGAGGGGCCAGATGATATGGGGGAAGAGGGAGGACACTCAGCGTGGGAAGGGCCAGCGAGGAGGAGGAAGTGGAGGGCGAGGAAGAGGGAAGTGGGGGGAGGAAGGGCGTGAGGGAGGAGGAAGAAGAGGAAGTGTAGCAGGAGGAGGACTCATCAACGATGTTGCAGTCGAACCTCCTCCAAGTTCCCTCTTCGTAGGCCCCTAGAGATATTCATTTTCACTAAAGGAAGTGTTCCGTTGGAAAACAACCGTTTGAGAATCCTGAACGGTGCCAGAACACCATTTCTGGGATTCCAACGCCGCGAAACAATGTTACCATTGCGTCCTGGCCAGTGGATCGTGCCAGAACAATCTTCCTGGGACTTCGACACCACGAATCAACGTATCTCCCGCGCCCTGACAGACCGACATCGCGCCAGAACGCCGTTCCTGGAACGTTAAACATGGAAATCCTTGAACAGGTTGTAGACTCTTAAATCGAAAGTGCGCGGTGCTACGGCGAGAATCACATTTTGAAAACGGGCCGCCCTCCACGATGAAGTTCTTGCAACTAGAACGACTGTGCGCGGCGCTAAGGCGAGAGCCACATGTTGAAAACGACATGTTGAAAACGACCCGCCCTCCATCCGTGAAGCTATTGCAATGTCGGCGTTTTTCTTTTAGAGAAGAATGTGCGCGGCGCTGAGGCGAGAGCCACATTTCTAAAACGACTAGCCCTCCATCCGCGAGGCTTGTGCACATTCAAGCTTCAGGACTGTAACTGGTGGGGGGGGTCTCATAGGAAAAAACCAAGCCCGCCCTTTCAACGCCTCGGGGTACATTTGGAACGAGTTAGTTAGAAATAAGTGGAATGGTGGAGGGGAGGATGCGAATGAGTTCCCTCCCGTTCTCACCCGCCTCCTCCCTGGGATTTGCAGCCATCCTGGCAAGGAGGCCGTGGAAGGACCGCCGCCCGCGGCCGTGGCCGTGGCCGACGAGCCCAACAACCCGGACCAGCCACAGGCCCGATGGGGAGGGAGCCCAAGAGATCGCCTCCGATCTCATTCGGCGTCTGCTCTCAGTACAGTCGGGGCCCTGAAGAAGGAACCCTTTTCGTTGGGGAGGGGCTCCGCGTTCCTTAAGTGTTTCGCAGTTTGCCTCAGGTTTTCCTTATGTTTTCGATCGGAAATCGAAGTTTAACTTATGGAAAAAGTGGCCTCGTTCCTTATTGTAGGTTCCTTAGGTCAAGGCCCCGACTGTAGGCCGCCGGGGGACATCTGTGGCCGAGGCCTCTGGGGTATCCAGGGGGCCAACCCTCCACGGCCTCGCCGAGGCTGGGCCCGTTCGGCCGCCCGTGCGGTGGCCGAGTCGGGTCAGACGCCAGATGGGCCCAAAAGGGATCTCTGGGGTTGTGACGTTTCAGCTTACTTTAGCCTTGATCACTAGGGGGGGATTTCGAGCACCAAGAAAGAACCAACGCTGGAGTTCTTCCACCTGTCGGGCCCTGGGAGGCGATACTCATTCGACACTGTTTCGTCCGGGTGCTCGAAATTATTTCAGAGGTGTGGTCCTTGAGTAAGATGGGATCAACAGAACCCTGGGCAAGAGATGGAGGAAGATGAGGGCCAGAGTAGACTCCGACGGGCCACTGCTCACGGGCGGATCTGACTGTCGGGCCTCGTCTTGTTCGCACTTGCCGCCTCAGCGCCTGCATGCCCGACATCGGTTCCAACCCCAGGGTATCTGCAGGCGACCTCGTGGAGCGGTGCCCCTGACGGTGCAATTCCGCGGCCGAGCATCTCGCCAGCTAGTGCATCAGGGACTGGGGTCCCATGACTTAGGCCTTCGGAATACAGTGAGCGGCTTGAATAAGGAACACCTACTTTTCAAAAGGGGCGGAGCAACAGGCATGGCTCCGTCCAGGATTTTGCCAGATGGAGACGCACAGAGAGTGGTCAGTTTACAGTGGAGGCCCATGCCAAGAAACACCCTGCTTGCCTCCAGGGTGCCCTGGGTTTCTTGGGTTTCGATGGTTTTGCCATGGAGAGCGTGACTTTCCCGTACCGAAAAAAACTGGACGTCCTGCGGTCTCAGGGTTGGGTTTCTTGTGGAAGGTTTCTTGTGGTCGAGCCTGTACTGTATGCATGTTTCTATTAAGGTGTCGGTCCGCATTAGGCCAAGGCTATCGCAGTAGAGACTGCATCGAGCAAGCTGCATCTCGCAGTTCTTACCGGGCAGCAGAGCCGGCAGCCTGGGGGCGTAGGCCGTACGTCGACGAGACGCAAGAGTGACCCTCGCCGGGGTGACTTCTGGTGCGGGCACAGATGGGGCCCCAGATGGCTGAAAACGAAGCAGGAGCAGCGGCTTGCGCGCCCAGGTTCGGTCCCCCCGCGGCCCCCAAAAAGCCGCGCACCAAAGGTCACTCTTGCCCAGGGTCACTCTTGCGTGTAGCCGAGTGCGAGAGGAAGGGTAAGCCCAGATTGCGTTTCATATAAGCCCCCACATCTATATTTCATTTCGCTACAGCGAGCGCCAGCTTAAGAGACGAGCCTCCCATGGACCTCCCGTTTTGGCGAGACCTCCGTTTTGAAAAGGGGGCGCTATACATCTTGCAGTCATTCGAACGGTCACAGTGTCGGGCCAGAAGAGCCCAGAGCGTATCACGCTGGCGCCCAACCTTGAGAAGGACCCTCTTTCCAGTTGTGCATCTGGAAAAAAACGTGACCTGGACATCGCTTGCACTACGCAGCAGCTTTAAGTTCGGTTTGGGGAATTTTTGGAGGGGAAAACACACAGACACAATTCATCGTCGATTTCCCCGAAAATATGGGAAAGTATGGGAAGTGGGGCGGAAGACAAAAACCAAGAAAACATAGGAAAACATGGAGAATCGGGCTATTTGTGTGTGTGTGTGTTTATTTGTGTGTCCTAGGGCCCCTTGACATCGCTTGCACTACGAAGCAGCTTTGAGTTCGGTCTGAGGCATCGGCCCGCGTTTCTGGGTCTTCGCCGCTCCTCGGCCGCCTCGATGGCCGCCTCGGTGGCCGCCGCGCGCGCTGGCCCGCGTTGCCGGGTGCTCGCCGGGTGGTTGCCCGTCGTTCGCCGCCTCGGTGGCCGCCCCGGCGGCGGACCCGCGTGCGCTGGCCCTGCGTTGCTGGGCTCCTTCGCCCGGTGGCCGCCCCCCGGTGGTGGTAATACTGCGGCTGCGGCACTGAAAATGTCACGACGAACGCGACATATAGCCTACGGTAGGTTCGCGTCGTGTCGACCGGCGACCCCGCCGCCAGCGTTCAAGGTTGAACGCCGCAGGAGACCCGGAATCGGCCTATCGTTGAAATATCCAGCGTTTCGGAAACGGCCGATCGTTCAGGGTTGAGCGATCCCCGCGGTGTCAGGGACCAACGGTGGGGTCGACACGACAAGAACCTGCCGTCCTACAGGTGCGAAACATCTTGGTTCTCAAAACGAGCTTTCAAATCTCTCACGGAATCAGAAACCTGGCCCCAGGTCATCACATTGTCCTTTTTCGACCGGTTGGGCCACGGCCGCCCCGTGAGCCGGCTGGCGTTTCAGGGTGCACACCTGGCTGAGCACCCCGTGAAGTCAAGTGATGTGAATTCCAGCCTTCTGCCGAGGCTATTCCCCCCTCCACGAAGATGGAGCTCTTTGTTTTGGCGCCCCCTGCATTTTAGGATACGCCTATGTGGCCAAACGTTTCGGTACAGTTTGGCCACGCTGTAGAACCATTCGTTCCCCCAGTCGCTGTGGAAGCCCTTTGGGAACATGTGGGGGAGGAAGTGGATGAAGAGAGGGAGGACAACAGAGGACGAGGAGAAGGATGGGGAGACCTCTTGGGAGCTTCTTGGGTCGTTCTTGGGGCCTCCTGGGAGTTTCCTGGGACCTCTTGGAGGCCTATTGGGGGTCTCCTTGGGCCTCTCGGGGGCCTTTGGGGGCTTCTTGGGGGCCCGATTGGCGCTCTTTCCTGGCCCATCTGACGCTGTTGGAAGCCGTCTTGGGAGCCTCGCTGGGCCGTCTTGGGGCCCTCTTGAGGCGCTTCAGGGTCGTCTTGAAGACCGTCTGGGGCGTCTTGGAGGCCTCTTGGGCCGTCTTGGAGCCATCTTGAGCCGTCTTGTTGGCTTCTTGAGAGGACTTGGCGGCATCTTGGGCCTTCGTGTGCCGTCTTGGAGGCCATCCTGGGCCATCGTGGGCGAACCTGGAGACCATGCCAGGCCGTCTTGGGGCCCTCTCTTGGCCGTCCTGGGGGCCTCTTGGGCGAGCTTGGGGTCCTCCTGGGCCGATTGGGGGCCCTCGTGGGCCGTCTTGGAGTTCTCTTGGAGACCTCTTTGGTTGTGTTGGAGCGTCCAGAGCCCAGAGACGCGAGTATGCTAAGTCCTTCAAGAAAGCTATTGGAATCGATTCATTTTGCCTCTTGGGACCCTTTTCGGAGTCTTCTTGGACGTCTTGCCTGGCTCTTGGGCCATCTTGAAGCCATGCTGGGCCTTCTTGCGTCCGTCTTGGGCCATCTGGAGCTCTCTTGACGCAATCTTGCCCGTCTTTGGGGCATGCTGGGGCCGTCGTGGAGGCCATCTTGAGTCAGCTTGGCCGTCTTGGAGGCATCTTGGAGGCCATCTTGGGGATCATCTGGAACGGGCAGTTCCTTGCCAACCGGATTTGGGCGACCTTTTCGGGTGGCCGGCGGGTGGGGCCAACGCCCCAGGGGAGTTCTCTAGGAACCGAAAACCACCCGACATCTAGCACGCCAGGCACCACTCTGATAAATCAACAGGGGGCGGCGAATCGAAAACGCCTACGGCGAATCACCGCCGCCTGCTGCCTCGTGGGGACGCTTGTGCGGCCAAACGTTGGACCGAAGGCAGGCCAAGCTATTGGACTACGTGCTCTCCGCAGCCGCTGTGGAGCCCCTTGGGGAAACACCGGGGAGAGGAAGAAAAAGGAGGAGGAGAGGGAGAGGAACGCAGAGGAGGAAGAAGGGGAGGCCTCTTGCGGCCCTCTCGGTGTTCTTGGGGCCTTCCTGGGAGCCTTTGGGGGGGCTGTGAGGGTCATCGTGGGGGCCTCCTGGGGCCTCTCGGAGGTCTCCTGGGACCTCTTGGGCCCCTTTTGGGACATCCTGGGGGCCTCTTTGGCGGCCTCTTGGCCCCTCGGAGGCCGTCCTGGGCCCTTTCCTGGGCAACCGCGGGTCCCTCTTGGGCTGTTTTTTGTGGGGCCGTCTTGGAGGCCCCTTGGAGGCCGTCTTGGGGGCCCCCTTGGGGGCCTCTTGGGGCCGTCCTGGGGGCCTCCTTGGGCCGTCCTGCGGGCCCCTTGGAGGCCTCCCGGTCCGTCCTGGGGCGATCTCTTGGGTACCTGTGGGGAGCGTCGGAGGCCCGGAATCGGGGGCGGCCAAGAGGGGGGTGATGGTTGGGGGGGGGGATATCATGGCGGGGGGCATGATATTTCCCCAGCTTTTATGGCGCCTCTTCTGATTTCATGGCGTCCCTGGCCCCCCCGCTGGGCCGCGCACATGCCGCCGGTCATGATTTGCACCCCCCCCTCTGGGACACCCCCCTCTTGGCCGCTCCCGGCGAAAAGAGGAGCCCGCTGCAGGCGCTGGGGTTCAGTCGGGCATGTCCCTCTACAGAAGGAGTAATCAAGCATAGGGAACAAATAGTCAGGCGAAGATGTTGTGACATTTTTTGTCATTTTTGGGCATGTGTTGAGTATGTTTAATTTTTCGCCCAAAGTCCGCCTGTAGGAAGACAGGCCCGACCTAAGCCTAGGGGACATCAATGGTTCTGGCCTCCTGGGATCACCAGTTTGAAACACGTCCCCGTCCCTATGTTTGGTGTCACCCTACCTCGATGCCGATCTCAAGGATTCTCTCCGTTTATGAGGGCGCATCCCAAATCTTGTCCTCGTTTTTAGCCTGCCCGTCTCAGGGATGGGTTAAGTTCGAGCCTGGCCATGGAAGTCCCCTGGGAGCCCACTTGGGGCGTCTTGGGGCCTCTTGAGTCGTCTGTAGGACATCT